TCCGACTCATAGCAACCCTATAGGACAGAGTAGAACAGCCTTAGGGCTTCCACGGCTGTAATCTTTGCAGAAGCAGACTAGAACGTCTTTCTCGTTTGAAGTGGCTGGTGGGTTCGAACCACTGACCTTTCGGTTAACAGCCAAAGCATTTAACCATTGCACCACCAGGGCTCCTAGAGAGAGTGTATAGAGACAGTATAGAGAATCTTTATCTAAGCATGTATAGGTTATCAACCTACACACGCACACAGATACAATATATGTTACATATAACTGAAATAATTGACCAAATACATGTCACCGTTTCAGCGCTCCACAGAGAAGCCTAAACTGGAGTTTTTCCTGACTGCTGAAAGGTAACACTTAATCCACCTAATATCATAAATAATAGTGTAGGATAACCTTCAATAGCCTGCGGATACTAGAAACGTTCAGGAGAATCATTCATAATCAGAGTCATTACCTGCTTGCTCAATGTCCATACACTTCTAAATAACAGCTCCATTGCGTGCACTGTTTGTAAACCTTTAATGTATACTGTCTTTTTCTTCTTGAAAATAACACAAGTGTCTTGTAAATAGTGCAATAAAACTCACGCTACACTCAGAAACAAATGACAATGTGCATTTGAAGTTGGAGGAGGATGTTAGCTATTTTAAGAAACAGTTAAAATAACTTAATTTAGTATCTGTTAAAATTAAGGAGATGGAGAGAACGAAATGGAGAAATGAAATAGAAATGGACTTAAATTTCGTCAGTTTGTTCCCGAGGGCTGTAATGTAATGGTACTAAGACATCCTTATTAGTTCTAGCTTCTCTGGGTTTTTCTTTTCTTTCTTTCTTTTCTTTTTTTTTCGTCTTGCTGGGATTGCAAACTTTGACGCATTATCCAATTTGTTTTAGTAAGACTCATGCCATTGTGGTGTATAAACCATTTGGTACTTCAATTTCCACTAAATAATCAGTGCTCAAACTCAGTGCTTGCCAAGAATAAGAAATGCTTTAGTTCAGATTTAATTATTTTCATTGTTGAGTCAGCATCTGTTGTGTGTAAATGACCAACATCCATTCCACCATCTTCAGGTGGGAATACCTTCGTTATGCTTTAGAAAACTCCCTCTCTTGCCTCTCATTTCATGTAGGTTCAGTTGGCTGATGCCAGAGGTGGTCACATGAGCCACGCTGGACCAATCAAATGCTAAGGCTCTGGACTCTGACTTTCGAGCAGAAAGACAGCTTGCTCAAAATGATAGTATTCTGCTTTGCCATACAGCTGGCTACTCAGAAGGAATCCCTCAGATCTGGTTACCCTGAGGCTCCTTGGTTTCTATGCTTCCTAAGATGTGCGTTTTCAGCATATCCTTTGATTCTGAGAGCTATCTGTATCACTTCCTACAAATCAAAGTGTGTTTTTTAACTTGAACATGTTTCTTACAACCAAAAAGGAAAAAACCAACAACACCTAATATATAGAACATTTCATTTAACAATAACAAAACCCAAAGAGAGGTTCACCAGTGAGGTGCCACTGTAAAGTAGTAAGACCAATTTTCAGCAAGCTTTCCAGAATTTATAACTCTCAATAAAAGTTTCTCCGTTCTAAGGATGACTTGCTAGAAACACCTCTAGATGACTTATTAATACCTTTATTCTTTTTAATTTCTCTTCAATTTAAGGATGATTTACATTCACAACTTTTCTCTCATTTGTTGTTCTCTTTCCTTACTGTCAACAAAGGGGTAGCATTAGGGTTTTATTTCAAAGTATTTTTAATTTCTTTTCCAATTAAAATATCACCTTTTGCACAACTTTTTTTTTTAAATTTTTTAACACTTTAACAGTTTAGCTCTTCAAATCATGCATCATCTATACATGCATTGATAGTAAGGAGTTAGTTTTCCCCAGCACTAACCAACAGGAATATGTGAGCTACATATGTAGTTTTAAATATCCCCAGTCATATGAAAAAAATAAAAAGAAACAGGGGAAATAAATTTTAATATTTTATTTAACCCAATACATCCAAAATAATATAATTTCAATATGTAATCGACATAAAAAATTATTAATGAGACACTGTACATTCTGTTTTTCATGCAAAGTCCTTGAAATCCAATGTGTATTTTACACTTACAACACATCTCAGTTCAGATGCAAATTTACACCAGATAGTTGGTCTATATATAGACTTCATAAATTTTACAGTTGAAAAAGTAGATTCATGTTGTTCCAAACATACTTAAAGTTTTCCAATAACTGAATCAAATATCCATTTTTAAATTTAACTAAAGTTAAATGAAATTAAAAATTCGGTTCCTCAGTTGTACTACCCACATTTCAAGTGCTCATTCTATGTGGCTAGCGGATACGGTTTTGGCTGTGCAGGTCTAACTGAGCTAGCTATGCATGTGTGTTTCACAAGGGGAGGGGAGACATTCAGACGTCTCTCAGGTCTCACTCACAAGGTTTTGACATTTTAACATTCCATAGTAACTTTTGTTATTGAAAGCTATAAAAATTTCTGCTTGAGGACCATTGAACTTCAACAAACTGGGGTTTATAGTTTTCATCAAATTTGGAAATTTGGGGACCATTATTTCTTCAATTTTTGTTTCTGTTTTGTTTTCTCTCCCACATTCCCCCCCAACCCTCACCCCACCACCAGTCTGTGTGGGTACTACACTTCTAGGACTACAATTATCTGAATGTTGGGCTGCTCACGATAGTCCCACAGCTCACTCGGACTCTGTACAGATGTTCTTTTTGTTCTCTGTCTTTTTCCCTCCGTGTTTCATGTAGGATAGTTTAAATTGCTGTCTTCAACTTCGCCTGTCTTTTCTTCCGCAGTGTCTAGCCTGCTATTAATCCCATACCCGTTGCCGTCAAGTGAATTCCAACTCACAGCAACCTTATAGGAAACAGTAGAACTGTCCCATAGGGTTTCCAATGCTATAATCTTTTCAGAAGCAACCTGACACATCTTTCTCCTGCAGAGTGGCTGGTAGGTTCAAAACCACCGACCTTTCAGTTAACAGCCAAGTGCTTAACCATTGTGCCACCAGGACTCCTGTTAATCCCATTGACTGTTAATTTCTTAAATTTCAGATAGTGTATTTTTCTTCTCTAGTATATGAGCCCTGGTGGTGCAGTGGTTAAGAGTTCAGCTGCGAGCCTGGGAACCAAAAGGTCGGCAGTTCAAGTCCACTAACTGCTCCTTGGAAACCCCATGGGGCAGCTCTACTCTGTCCTGTAGGGTCACTATGAGTCCGAATCGACTCAATGGCAACAGATTTTTTTTTTAGTATTTTTATTTGCATCTTTTTAAATACTTTCCATTTATCTCTTCGTCACAATCATGTTTTTCTCTATTTTCTTGAACATATGGAATATATTTATAAGAGCTGTTTTAATAGACTTGTGTTCAAATTCTATCATCTATGTCATTTCTGAGTCCGTTTCTATTGGTTGGTTTTTCTTGTGGTTGTGGGTTGTGTTTTCCTGCTTCCTTGAATATCTGAAAAATTTTTATTGGATGCCAGACTTTGTGAATTTTCTGCTATTGGGTACTAGGAGTTTGTTGTTGCTGTTTCTGCTTATTTGATTGTTTTATATTGCATTAAACGGTTTTGACTTTATTCTGGAATGTAGTTAAGTTACCTGGAATCATTTGATCCTTGTTTTTAAGCTTTTTAGGGTGAGTCTTCAGTCTAGGCATAAATTTACCCCACTACTGAGGCAATACCCTCCTGAGAACTCAAGCCAGCGTCCTATGTGGTGGCTCTTTCCACTCTGGCTGGTAGAACACAAACTGTCTGCCCCTGTGGCAGCTCTGGGGATTGTGCAGCCTAATTCTTTCTGGTGGTTCTTCCCAGTCTCAATGGTTCCCTCCTATGCTTAGGCAGATCAGTTTTCAGGCAAAGACTTGAGGGGACCCATCTGCAAATCTCCAGAGTTCTCTCTCTCTGTGGCTCCCTCCTTTCCAGAATACCTCCCCACACATTTTCTTTAACTCAGCAAGACTTCTGCGCTCTGGCTGAGCTCCCCTTTCCTTTGCAGGCAGTACACTGGGGCACTGGAAAGGCTCACTTCATTTGTTTTCCTTCTCTCAGGAATCACAGTCCAGCACTGTCTGTTGTTCAATATCTGGAAACTGTTGTTGAATATATTTAGTCTAGTTTCATAGTTGTTGAAGGTAGGGAGGTAAATCTGGTTCCTGTTATTCCATCAGGTCCCAAAAGATATAAAAATAACCATTCGTTTAACAAATGTTTACTAAATGCCTACTGTAGAGGAGGAACCCGGGTCTCTTATCGGCAGGCTTAGCGCCCTTTCTATTCCGCTGTGTTACCAGGCAAATGTAGAAAATACTAAGATGCTTTGTATAGTGATACCAGTCATTACTACACAAATATTTTTGTAATTTATTTTCATTTAAAAATAATCATGGCCAAAATTTTATTCAAAAGATACACTTTTAAATTGCCTAGATTTTTTCAGTACTTAAACGGACTACTCTGTAAAGTGTACATAAATGTACAAGAGAGCCCAAAACAGAAAAGAATGAGCACTCACACACTTAGTGCGCTGAAGCTCTAACAGCACCGTAATGGGCCCGGAGTGTTAACGCAGCTCCCTAAGTGGCTAAATGACACCCAGGAGAGTCTCGCTCAGCAATGTAAGCTGTTAGTGCTTTCAGACATTTCGGGAAATGCATCCAGTGCCCCATTTCAAGCTTAATTGGCATAATAAATGTCAATTAAAGCTCCTTTAAGATTTTAAACTGCAAAACGCCAGTGAAACTATGTATGTATAGACTCACACAAGACTATTTTGCAAGAAATCTCTCCTAAAAGAGACATATGGATTTATGCTTACCATAGGCTACATGGAAACCCTGGTGGCATAGTGGTTAAGAGCTATGGCTGCTAACCAAAAGGTCAGCAGTTCGAATCTACCAGGTGCTCCTTGGAAACTCTACGGGGCAGTTCTCCTCTGCCCTAAAGGGTCACTGTGAGTTGGAATCAACTTGACAGCAACAGGTTTGGTTTTGGTTTTTTTACAGGCTACGTGTCTTCAAAAACGGATAAACACAGCAAACTTGCATTCACTTCAAAAAAGGAAGTTATTTTGCCCCACAGTCTTAAAGGTATCACTCTTACATGGCTTATAAACCGTTGTATGCCTTATGTGTAAGTAGAATTCAGTTTTATTTCAACAAATACATATACAGACTCAATATATATCTGTATATACAATGTTTGTTTGCATTTCCAAGACTAGAAATACAGAAGTGAACGGGGTAGACAGAGCTCCTGTTATCACCGTGGATGGATCCTTCCAGATGCTGCCACCTCTGATTCTATGTCTACACATCACTCCTTTCTTAAGCGTTACATTACAGTGAATGGTCCAGTGTGAATATAAAACAGTATCTCTGTTAACTTCTAAACTTGGCAATTCGTTTATATGTCTTATGTATATCTCATTAATTTAAGTGTCAAAAAAATTCCGTCTTAGTTTAAGTAGCCCAAGCTGCCAAGTGTTTGAAATCATCGTCTTCTTCTGTCCTCCTGGAAGATGCTGAGATGTAAAATGGATACAAATTAGTAATTGGTGACATTCATACACTTACCATGGAAAACAGGAATGAATTACGGATGAAAATGTGTATGTTTATAGAATCAAAAATAAGTGCTAAAAGGGAAGAGCTTGGTTATCATTTTAGGCAACCATCTGGCCACGGGTAGTGGAGGTGGGTAACAGACCTGCTCGGGATCGACGTGCAGTGGAGGCCATGCCTGGCCGTCTATCTGGCTGTGCTGGGAGGGAGGAAGAGGGCACATTTGGAAGTCGGATATTTGTCATCTTCTTATTTAATTCCTCCTGCTCCAGTTCTTCAAGTTCTGCCATCAGCTCATCCTGAACACAGGAAAAAAGAAGAATTATGGAGTTAATGTTTCAAGAAGTGAGTTTCCTCGAACACAATAACAAGAACATCTGCTACCCAATTGATATGTGAGAACCCAGTGAAATGGAATATTTGTTTTAAAACTAAGTCTTTTTGCAACATTGAGCAGTGATTAAAAAATGAATATTTGGGGTTGTGCAAATTTGTTATAGTTAATCTCATAATACTTCAGTAAACAGTCAAGTAAGTAATTTCTGTTAGCTGAATATATAACCTCCACAGTTTCTAGGAAATTTACACCTTGCCTGTCATATTTCCACTTTATCTTTTCTCCTGCTGAAAATTAAGAATTTGTGAAATAGTCTCAATGTCTTCGAGAGTAATAAATATTTTTACGTGGGCTAATACTATTAAAAATGAAACAGAAACAGGTATATAAATAGCATAGTTTATAGAAAAGTAATGATACTATGGTTTTTATATCACCAAAGCCAATATAAATTGTGCTGTGTGTTTGGGTTGAGAGAACTTCAACTCAAGGTAGATGCACTGCATGTCCTTCTTTAAACCATAATCCCAGAGAGTATGGATTAATCCTAAACTATCTTCTGTCTTAAACCTTAAGGAGGCAAGGCGAGTTTGAGATCTTAAGGGTATAAGCAGGGCTTTGAACTGGTTCATTCCAGTTTGACTCCCTGCTGAGAATTTGCACCTTCACCCCAGATATACTGAATCAGAATCTACATTTTAACAAGCTCCCCAACTCTACATAAGAATCACCTGAGGATACATAAGAATTACCCGGGGATCTTGTTAAAATGTAGCGTCTGATTGCATATATCTGGGAGCGGAAATGCAACTTCTCATTAGGTGTCAAACCAGAATGAACCAGTTGGAAGCCCTGGGAGTAAGTCACGGTATGACAGATTTGACATGACCTGAGAGAGTTCAGATCTTACTGGCTCCATGAGTCCTTATTACCCCTCAGAAAGAGGTTGGGAGTTGAAAGTAAATTTGTCATCATTGAAATTCTGACATTGTCAGGATTACAAATGACCTGACCACTCTTATATTTAACCAAGTAGAGTCTTCATTCATTCCTTCATTCATTCATCATTCAACAAACCATTATTGAGAGCTGACTCCTTACCAGGTATTGCACTCAGTACAGGGAATACAAAGCTAAATAGATGGTCCCTGAATTCAAGGATCTCATGCTCGAATGTGGGAAATAGGCACATAAACAAATAATTATCCTATATTAAAGTGAGGCTAATGGTACTATGGGGCAATGGAAACTTATGCCAACCACATTTTATCGAGTCAGCTGGTCTCAGACATACAGCAAGCTAAAAGATTGTCTGGCTTCTATTAAATTTGCCTTATGGAAAGGAAATAAAACATGATGGTGTGTGGGATGGAGCTCTGGGGGCACGGTGTTTAAGAGCTCAGCTGCTCACCAAAAGGTCGGCAGTTGGAATCCACCAGCAACTCCTTGGAAACCCTATGGGGCAGTTCTACTCTGTCCTACTGGGTCGCTATGAGTTGGAATCAACTCTACGGCAACGGGTTTGGTTTTTGGACGGGTGTATGGGAGTTGGGCCATGGAAATATTACGGTCAGTGTATATGTGTGCTTCCTGCTTCTCCACAGGCTATATGAATAAAGCGACATCAGAATCACTACACTGATCACCTCTTTATTTTCACAAAACAATTAAGTACAAATATAGTAAATACAGTAATGGAAGAACGGGAAGGTTTCCTACTCAGCGTGCATACCCAGAATTGCCAACAGTGCTGGATAGTTATTGACAGCATTGGAAAGATACTTATATTTTCTTTAGAAAATATGAGGACAACCGAATAAGCATCTCCTCCATCGTTTTCAGCCGTCAGGTACAAACACTTACTCAATCATAGATAAGAGAATTTTAGAACTTAATGAACTTTAGAGATAATCCAGTGATTCAGTGATTTTCATTTAATAGATGAGAAAACTACGGGTCCAAAAACTAAAAGAACTTACAAAAAGCTTAACGATAAATGGTAGAACCAGATGTCCTCATGCTTAGCCCAAAGCCCTTTCTACCACATCACAACACACGCATTAGGTGCTTATTCGTCTACACCAGGAGTTGGCAAACTTTCTCTGTAAAGAGCCAAACAGTAATATTCTAGGCTTTGTGGGCCGTAGTCTCTGATGCATAACCTTCTCTGTTGTTGCTGCTGTTTCCAACAACCCTTTAAAAATGTAAAAATCATTCTTAGCTCACAGGCTGTACAAAAACAGGCTGTGGGAAAGATCTGGCTCACAAGCCGTATTTTCCCGACCCCTGCTATGCACCATTTAAGTAAATTGTTGACACACAATTCTTTTTTTTTTTTTTTGACATGCAATTCTCATTTTCTAAGACTCCATGGAACTATATCTTACTTGTTAAATGTGTCATTTTAAATACCATATAGATATGGGAAGTCGGATTCTTTGCCATGCTAATCTGATAACTGGAAATCGTTCCAAACGTGGACTAATCCTACTTGTGTATGTTTTGAGCAGAATGACTGAAATTCACAGTGCAGACATCACCATTATAATTATAGTCTGTGTTATTGGACTGATTAATCTAAATGGAATGTGTGTGTTAATAATGCCACTCCACATTTATTTTTTTTCATAGCCTGAGTAATAAACAGAAGCTGCCTAACCTCTAATTTAACAGCTATAGAGCATGATACGTCTCTTCCTTGCAGAGTGACACCGTCTGTTTTGCCGAGATGTACAAGCACTTGATTCCTCGTAATGGGCCTGTTTAGGCTTCAACCATTAAAAGTCACTCACTTAAAATAATTACATACTGCCTTTTCCTTAATAGCTGAAAACTTAATTAGGAGGCTGTTTGCCAAACTATATTAATCTTTTCTTTAAATCAGAGCTAACAACACTTCATCTTCCTCTTAAGAGAAGTACATTTCTAACAAATGTTTTTTACTAGATAATTCTTTAAGTAAGAAGGGAACCTGCCTGCTATATATGGGGAAAACTGCTCTTTACAGTAGACCACAGATAGAGCATTTTTTACACGGTGTCACCTACCTCATCAAAGTCATCACCAAACCCAACCCGTTGAGAAAACGCTTCTGAGATTTCCTGGGCAATGTCCTGCTGCTCTGTGATCTCTTGCATCAAATCATCTATTTTGTTCACATCCCTGGGAAGTAATATTTTGTTGAAACATTTTAGAATTTTAACTTAAAATTATGAATTCAGATATAATCCTGTATGAAAAAAAGTCAACTTAATATAAATTCTTAGCTACTTAAGTAGGGTAACAAAAATTCCTAGTGCTGATTTGCATTTAAAAAAAAAAAAGAATCCTTTACATGCACATCTATTTAAAATATTACATAGATAGCCGCTACATTTGGAAGTCACTAGAAATCGTATTATTTTATAGTTAGAATATCTGTGGCCTGTTTGGAACTTTTGTCCGGTAAGGCATACACAAAATTTAAATAGATGCTGCTGCGTATCAGCTTTCCAGGACATGGTGCCATGGACCACCGAGGACCACCGTGACCACGGTAAGCTACGGCAACTCTCAGTAACCACTATCGGACAGCAGCCTTTTGCAGAGCTAACCTCTGGAACTGGAGAGCTATTTCACAGAATGCCTTCTAGCTCTGGGATTCTGTCTCCTGGGGCCTTTCCGGTAGCTACTGATGTTCTTGGAGATGACTGATGAGAGCAAGGTTAGGCCTCTGAAGCTCTCAGGAGAATCAGCAATGTAGCAAAGGAATCTGGGTGGCCAACAGGCCCAGAATGGACAGCTACATCAGCGACGCTTTCTAGCGCCTGAGCCCCACTGGCCCCTAACCACCAGCCCAGGCCCACGGTATCTAAATATCAGTATCTGAACTGCTTCTATGGTAACCTGTCTCTGAATCATTTTTCCAACTCTGAAACCAGGCCAAACCATTGACTGGATACAAGAGAAGCGACAATATTCCTCATTATTGAGTAACCTAGTAACTGAAATTTTGATTCCCAGTCGAGTTATTTTTTTATGAGTCTCCCAGACTCTATTCAAGGTAAAAGCTGAGTGTTTTGACATACAATCACATGGTAATCAAAAAGAACGGATCCCTGGTGGTGCAGTGGTAAGAGCTATGGCTGCTAACTAAAAGGTCGGCAGTTCGAATCCACCAGTCACTCATTGGAAACCCTATGGGGTGGTTCTACTCTGTCCTATAGGGTCACTATGAGTTGGAATTGACTTGATGGCAACGGGTTTGGTTTTGGTAATCAAAAAGAATACTTTGACCACTGTCCTACCACCTCTCATTTCCAACCCTTACTGCTGTTCATAATGAATATATTTATAAAAAAAGGTATGAGAAAGGTATGCCAAAAGTTTGGGCCTGAGAGTAGATTTTCCCAAGAGGAACACAATGGGATGATGCTGGTAAGGTTATGGGTTTTGTAATACATTTTAGAGTCCAACTTATAGCAACATTAGAGGATTCTGATGCAGATAATGAAAATAATGATCTTTCTGAAGATGTCAAAATGGCAACTGATTGTTAATGAATTATCAAGGCAAGAAAAAGTGAGAAGAAGTTGTCTTCATTGACTCCCGCTTCCCCTTTCTCCACCTTTCCCATCCTATGGAATCTTCTCTACGTCCCTCAGACACTCAGTGCTCTTGTACATCCCTGGCCCAGACCCCATTGTCATGTCCGTGTCCAGACTCCAGAAAGGATCAGGTCCTGGGCATTTATTCCCCAAGGTGAATGTAAAGTAAATTGCCACCAGTCCCACTACACGATGAATATTGATTATTGAGTGCTTCCTTTGTGCCAGGCACTAGGCTAAGTGCATTCAATCTAGTATCTCATTGAATCTCACAATAACCGTATGAGTTAAGAACTATCATCATCTCCAATTTACTGATAAGGAAACTGAATCACAGAGAGGCAAAGTAACTTGCCCAAGGGATAGTCAGCAGTGGAGCTGGGATTATAACTCAGAAGATCTGAGTCCCAAAGCCTTGCCAATAAGGTAATAACTATTATTCTAATTTAGTGGTTCCCAAACATTGGTTAGTATCAGAATCAGCTGGGAAACTGGGTTAAAAACAAAAGGCCCCAGGCTCTCTCCTGCTTTAAGGGGCTTGGACCTCAGTGCTCTGTTGGGCCTCTAGGTGATTCTGAGTCCCACAAAAGTTTGACCACCACTATTCTATAGTTCTAAAACCCTCAGATGACTATACTTAATTCAAAATTATGAAATAGAAGTATTTACGAGTGGAGTTTCAGTGGAGGCAGCTTGGAAACATTAAGGGCAAAGTATCTTTCAGGTCCTCTCTGAAACCACTATAGTTTTGGTTTTGTTGATTGTTTTTGCCACTCTAATCCTTCTCTGACAGAGCATTCCATTTCAACACGTCAAAGAGCCTCAAATGAATACACTCATTCCTGCAAAGACCATCACATAGCTCCAACGGTCCCTCTCCACATCAAGGGAATGTATGACACCCAAAGTCACTCACATGTTTTCATGAACTGCTTTCATTGCTTTTGCTGCAAAGCCCATGTTCCTTAGCACCTCGGTGTTGGTGTGTGAGTTTTCCAGGGCTTCTCTCTGGAACTCAATGGTGGACAGTGTGCCATCAATCTGAGTTAGCTGCTTCTCAAACCTCTTCTTTCTCTTTAGTGCCTGTAATGCAGCTAAATAAGGAAGAAGCCACATTTATATGGAGAGCACCCAAGCCAGTAGTCAAGAAACATTCACTCAGTACCAACTACAGACTCAGCGCTGTTGACACTTAAACACCAAGAGTATACCAACTAAACCTGAGAAACTGGAGGCTGACATCTGTCTTCTCAATTACCAACTACCACTCCCTTAAATATTTCATGACTCTTTTTCTTCCAAAGGTCGGGCAAGTAGGAAAGGCCAGAAAGTCAATTTTCATATTCCATATAATATACCACAGCAGTGTTTCTGTCAATATTGGGTTTTAGAAAAAGGATAGATAAAAATATGAGTAAAAATTATACAGTAGAAATATGAAACTTTAGAGGAAGGAAAGACCTTAATGATTGTTGATTCTAGCACAATTTCCTTATTGCGAGGACAAGTTAATCGAGACTCAGAGAATTAAGTGACATGCTTGCAGACAGACAGCTAGTGGCAACTGGAACCAGAATGTAGGGTGGCGAGCTGCAGGCCTGGGTCTGAAGGTTATGAGATGGTCATTAAGGTCACACTCAGTCACGAGTGTGCATGAAATCAACACCACTAAAGTCATACTCCAGGATTTATGGCATACTGGTGAGAGGATTGAGTGCTTCCTTCAGAAAAATGATATCCCTTAGCACTTTAGCAAGATAACCTTACCTACTTCACTCCAAAACCACAGACCTAACCGAGTCCTTTTGACTGTGATTCCTTGGAAGACACTCCCTGCAAAAAAAGAGAGACCCTAAAGTATGAATTTTCATAGGCCATTTAGGATAGAGTGCAGAAAAAGAGCAGCAGAGGAATATGTTAATATAAAGATAAGCGATGATTAACTGAAATTGACAAAAGAACTCAAATAGTTCTGTGGTTTCAGAGTGAAGCATGTAAGCTATCCCAACAGAGATTTCTGAGACAAGTCTCTCTACTAACACTGTTTTGATCAATTTCTTCTTGTAATTCCAACAGAAGGAGTCCTGGCGGTGCAGTGGTTAAGTGCTCGGCTGATAACCGAAAGGTCGATGGTTCAAACCCACCAGCCACTCCTGGGAGAAGGATGTGGCAGTCTGCTTCTGTAAAGATTATAGCCTTGGAAACCCTATGGGTCAGTTCTACTCTGTCCTACAGGGTAGCTATGAGTTGGAATTAACTCAGTAGCAAGGGATTTGGTTTTAATTCCAATAGATTTGATTCATTCCAATGTTTTCTGTTTGGTGCGCAAAGACTCATATCCATTATACACTCAGTGGATTTTACAGTTGGTCAATACCGTGTTCAATTTAACACTTTTTGCCCACAATTCCATTTTGTTTTATATTAAATTGGTAACTCTGCTTTCTTTTTGTTACAATTTGCCTGTAATATTTTTACCTGAACCTCTATATCAAAATTGTTTGCTTTTCTTTTTTTGGTGCACCTATTGTAAATAGCATATACTTGAATGTTTTGTTCACGAGATTATTTTTAACCCATTTAGGTAGTCTCTATCTTTGAATGTAAGATTTCAGCCCATTTTCATTTACTGTGGTAGCGCATATCTACATGATATGGTTTTTTTACTGTCATCTTTTTTGGTTTTCTATTATGATTTTTTGCTTTCTTGTCTTTATGTAGATTGATCAAGTTTTGTTTTTGTTTTTCCCATTTAATTACTGGAGAGTTATATATCCTAGATTTGCTCTCTTGCTGGATACGCTTTTATTAAAAATATACATATATAATTAAAATTAAGTTTTCTCTCCATTTTGAAAATTAATCAGTATCTATAATTTACTATTCCCAAACAAGAGTCTCTTCCCCCAATGTTTCACTGAAATAATCTGAAATTTTAGTTCCAGGTGATTACCATTCTTTATTATTCTTCCGACTTAAAAAAAAAATCTTAACATTTGCATTAAGTTTCAAAGACACAATTTCAACAGTTATTTACACTGAACTATACTCTTTATTGGCTTATTAACACCTCTTCTCATAACTTATGCTGTCACATTTCTTGAAAAAATTCTTTTTTCAATTTACTGGAGTAAATCTCAAAGATTTTATTCAGAAAAGGTGCATAGATATAAATTCTCTGAATACTGTAGGTCTGAAAACGTCTTCATTTTGTTTTAAACTTAAGTAATAGTTTGTATTTTTACAAAATTCTAGCTTTAAAATTATTTCTAAAATTTTAAGATACTGTTCCAGTGTCTTTGGGTGTTCAAAATTGCAAAAGTTTGATGCTAATAGTAATTATTCCCATCCCTTTATAGATAATCAATTTGCTTGTTTTGTTTCCTCTCTGGAAACTTTCAGAATTTTCTTTTTTGCCTTGGAGTTCTGAAATTTCACCAGTATAGGTCTAGGTATGTGCCTTTTATTTTTTCTTTTTACAGCTTAGCATTCAACGAGTATTTTTATTCTGAAGAATCAGGTCTTCCTCATCTCAGGGAAACTGTATTTTTTTTTTAATTATTATTATTTTCCCCCTTCATTCTGTTTATTCTCTTCTGAAATTGATTTTTATCTTACTATCCCCTTCCAACCATTCTCTCAGTTTTCCCTCCTTTGAAATTCCTGTAAGATGGGTGTTGCATTCTTTAGCTCTATCCTCCAACTATTTCTCTCTCTCTCTTTTTGTTCTGTGCTCTAGGAGAATCCTTGACTTTATATTCCAGCTAACTAATTTAGTCTTCAGCTATTTTTGCTCTTTTATTAATATTTTTAAAACATTTATATTTTTAATATCCAAATTAAAATCTCTAAAGTTTAAACTTTTCTTGTTCTCTAGTTGCTCATTTTTTACGGCAGCCCATTCTGGGCTTACAGATGCAATTGCCTCTTGAATCTCTCTGAAGATACTAATACAAGTTTTGTTTTTAACATCTTTTATTTCCTACATTATCTCTCTTCCCTTGGGGTCAGCTGTTTGCTTTGTTCATCTTGGTCCTTCTCTTTCATGCAATTAGCTTTCTTCAAAATTCTTGTGATCTATTATACATCCATTATTATAAATGAAAGACTAGTTAGCATAAATAGCTGTCAGTGCCTCTAAAAAAAGAAAACCCGCCGCTGTTGAGTTGATTCTGACTCATGGTGACCCCATGTGTTACAGAGTAGAACTGTGCCCCATAGGTGTTCATGGCTGTGATCTTTTACGGAAGAAGATCACCAGGTCTTCCTTCCATGGCGCAGCTGAGTGGGTTTGAACTGCCAACCTTTAGGATAGTTGTCAAGTGCAAATCATCTGCGCCACGCAGGGATCTTCAGTGCCTCTAGCAGTGATATGAGTGTTTCCCCAGGAGGCTGCTCCCCCAAGAGGGACAGCTGACCATAGCTCTGGATACGAAATGGGTGGGGCATGTCAACAGGGTAGGGCCAGACAGGCTGGGGATTCCTGCAATTGCCAGAGAAAGGCTTTACTTCAGGTGTAGAACATTTCTACACATTTCCCTTGTGAGCGGTGACTTGTCTTTCCCCAGCCCACCCTGACCTCTGTGAAGGTCCAGGGTTAGCTCAGGCTCTGCTCTGTTTCCCCCTCCAGATGCAACACCACAATTTAACCGCTGGCTGAACACCACCTACCCTGTATTTATAGAACAGCTCTCATTTGTTTAATGTGTTTTTTTAAAAGAAAAAGATTTTAAAAAAATAAAAAGTCAACTTGCATAAAGATGTTTCTACAGTATCACATCTTCAGCCACTCAAGAGAGGCTCTGGGTTGTCACATAAATGACCAGAGCTGTGTGAGGCCTTTCTTACCCCACACAGGGGGAATGGCCAACTGACCCTCTGTGCTATCACTCTGCCTTGGAATCCATGTCTACTATTGCATTTACTACACTGCATTGCAATTATTTGTAAAATCTCTGCTCTCCCTCCTACCCCAACTACGCCTAATTATAAGCCTGTTGAGGGATGATATAATATCTTATTCACCTCTGTTTCCCCAGATCCTGGCACATGCCCAACACAATACATAACAAAAATTAACAGTAACTGAGCATTTGCTATATGCCACAATGGTGTTAACTCCTTTACGTCCATTATGTGATTTATGTAATTTAACTCTCACAATAACTCCAGCAGTAGCCCATTTTACAGAAGATGAAATGAATGAATATTAAATGAATAAATTTGATAATTTTTGTGCATGTGCTATAATGGTGGCACAGTATAGTGGAAAGGGATGGTCTTCCAGGCCGGAGTGTGAATCCATCTTCCATAATTTAATTGATGTGCTTTTGAGCAAGTCACACCTTCTGTAAGTTTCATTTTCCTCATCTGGAAATGGGGAAATAATACCTACCAGGCTGGGTGATCGTAATAATTAGTGATAATTTATGGAAAACACCGTATACAGTGCCTGTGCATGCGAGAACTCATCATGTAGATGTTATTATTAATAATGTTTTATATACGATTCTTAATTAATGAGATTGTATATCTTATTTCTGAGACTACTGAGCAACAAATTAGCCATTCTTCGTTATAACTCACCACAGCGGGAACATAATGTTATAAAACATCTCCACATTTTTATAGGCGAAATAGATAGTTTTATTCAGCAGAGTATTCTAGAAAGCTAAATGTCAAATACATATCTCCACCCAACATGCCCAGAAGTGGAATGTTCAAAACATGTCTCCTCCCTTTCTTGTCAGGCTGGTTCCTTGTCTATACTTACTTGGAACTGAACTGATACTCATTGACCTAAAAGCATTTTCCATTTTTTTTTAAAAATTCTTTTCAATTTTCCAATTAAAAAAATGCCCTGTCTTCTAGTAAAAATTATTTTCGATTACTTTCTGAAAATTCAATAAATGTAGTTTAGGAGAAAGGATGAGCTTTGGAGTCAGTAGACTTACAAGGTAGTCCTACCTCTGCCATGTAATAGCTCTGTGATGTTAACTCCTCTACGTGGTGCTCCCTCACCTGAATAACAACAACGACAACAATAATAATACCTAGAAGATGACAACAGAATGCTGTGATCTGAGGCCAGGTT